TCCCCCCCGCGGGCCCTCCAGCCTCTCTACACAGTGACAGGGAAGGGAACCTGCCAGGGCTACTACAGCCCCTGCTCTGGTCGCTTCTACTGCCTGCATGGGCTGGACTACCACACTGATGGCACCCTTAACATCAGAAGACATCTCCATGCACTGGGAGAGAAGGCTGTAAGGTTGGAATGGCTTCCACTGGGACAGGATGGGTTGGGTAGGGATGGGATGGCTTGGGATGGGATGGGTTGCCTTGGGTCGGGAGGGACACCACCAGCCTTGTCCTTGGGACCCACTGCTCACTCTGCCTCTTCTGTCTCTTGCAGGAGCATGCCATGCTGTAGTTACAGCCCCAGAGTGTTGTTCTGTACATCCACAGACTGCGTCCAGGCATCCCCATTCATCAGTCCTAGGTGCAGAGAGGTCCAGGGTCAGGGGTGGGGGGAGGGGGAAATGCTCCAAGCTGGTTGCAACCTGCCTGTTATTTTTTTCCTGATGCCAGCCAGCCAGTAGCTCTCTTTTCATTAGTGTTTCACACAAAATTGCTTGGAGACAATCCTGGAGACAATGGCACAGACTGCAGACCCCAAGGGGTAGTTAGTGGGTCCCATCACAATACCCATGCAGGCAGAGATGCAGCCTCTGCACCTCCATCTCACATGCTAAATGGATGTGACCAGGGAGGGCAGAATACCACTGTGGTGCTGAGCTGGTGGAGAGTGCTGTTGCTACCTGTGGAGAAGCAGTAGCCAAATTTACTCCCAGGAGAGGCGTTGCTGTGCTTGATCTCATCCAGCAGCCCTTGGGACTGTACAGCACCTGAAATCCTGCTGGTACCCCTGAGCTCACCTGCATGTCACTTAGCATATCCCAGATCTTGGTGACACATCAGTGTTTCTTGTGCTGCTCTTGTTTTGGGGTTGTTTTTTTTTGTCTGCTGTCATTGTTTGCTCTTCTTATCCAAGAACCTGTTCCCTGGTCATGCTGTTATGTGGTAATCAGCCCTGTCCTTCACCTACTGCAGGTCTGCCAGCACCTTTTTATCTTCACATGTTTACCTTTAGGATGTTTCCATTGCTGAGGCAGCTTTTTTTTGGCTCAGGGGAGAGAGGAGGCTGTTCAACCAGCTTAATAATCATTCTGCTGCTGAATCAACTCCCTGCCAGCCAAAATAAGGTGTCAGACTTTCCAGAAAAATTGTGATTGGCTTCAAGTACCTGAACCTACAAACTAAAATTGAACAACAATGAAAACTAACAGAGAGAGCTGGGTATCCCATAAGATGTTCCTACTTTCCTGTGCCTGAGCCTTGGTGAAATGCTTCTCATGGTCTTTTCCACTGAGGAACTGGCAGATATTCCTGGACTGGCATGACCCTGAGAATGAAGGTTTCAGGAAAATGACAGTGCAAGACAGAGTGGCTATTTGCAGGGTGGGAGACTCAATGGAAGCAGCTCACTGAAACAGCAATACCAAGGAACATCACCTCTTCTGCTCAGGCTTTGCTTTGGTTTCAGCACCTAAAGACACACACCAAAGTGGATGGGGCCACCTGCATGTCTGCTGCTCTCCCCTACATAATGCTGGCAGCCAGAAGCAGGTTTTCCACTCTTCTTTCTCACTTGAGTTTCATCCTCCTATGGCTGATACCTTTATCTGCTCTCCCAGGTGGGACACAAGCCACTTCATGAAGACAGCAGGAGTCCAGAGAGGCAGCTTCATCATCGACCCTGAGTTTACATCAGAAGTTTCCTCTTCCCTGTGCGGCTGCTAAAGAGCCAAGACGGGCTTTCATTAAAACTGGATCAAGCAACTGGTCCACTCAGACTCTTTCCTACAGTCTTGGGAAGTTCATGGGCAGTGGGGAGAAACTTCAGTGACTGTTGGCTTGGTGGGCACTTTAACAGCCCTCAGGGGCTGGTACACTGTCACCACCAGCAAGCTGGAGAGCAAGAAAGCTCTCAAGGAACAGCTCTCAGAGCATAGTAACAGCCAGAAATAGAAGCAGTCATTTTTACCCCTGTTTGTCAGCTTCGTGCTGGGCTGCTTAGAACATGATTGCTTTTGCCAAGTTACCCAGGAAGATCTGCCATCCATCTGGGATGCCGGGCGCAGACACAAGCTAAATAAGGAGGGGGATTTGAAAGCATAATTAATGAAGACATGAAATGCCCTTCTCTGACTAAGATCTGGGAGCACACTCGCAGTGGGGAACACCACCCAGGGCTTTCCACGAGAGGGATGCTCCAGCACTGAACAGCCTGGGGCCCTACATCCCTGTGGGGCAGCACCGATGCCATGCCCTGCCCAGCAGCCAAACCCCTCCCGGGGCAGGGAAAACCGCGCAAAACTCCCATTTACCAGCAGCTGGGTGACCTAGAACATGCCAGCACAGCCCCCCCAGCGCCACACCCCAAGTGCCCCCAGACACCCCCAGAGCTCCAAGTCTCCCCCTCCCCGGGCATCCTCAGAGCTCCAACCCGGCCCCAAGGACACCCTCAGAGGCTCCAAGCCCCGGAGAGACCCCGGACCCACCCGTCTGGGCTGGTGCTGCCTTCGCCGTGTTTGCCGACGGGGCGGGCGGGGACCCGAACTACATCTCCCAGCGGGGAGCGCCGCGCCGGGGGCGGTTCGGGGGCGGTTCGGG